ATTACACTGAGGCAGGGGCGGACTGACCATTTGGAAACTCGGGCACTGCCCGAGGGCCCGGGGTCAGTAGGGGGCCCCATGAGACGCCCCTGGTACCTTCTTCATAGGCTTTTTTGAGTTTGGGCAAGGACACAGGGGCCCCATGATCCCCTATTGCCCGGGGCCCCATGAGTTGTCAGTCCGCCCCTGCACTGAGGTACGTTAATTGATAATGTGATTCTAGGTCAGGTAAGAGAGACAGTTCTTCATTGAATAAAATATAAAATCTCACAGTAGACAAGGCGGCTATAAATTCCCAAATTTCTATGGATTATATCCACAGTGGATGGAATCAGTTTTTTATTCTCCTGAATCTATTCATCCAGATGCATTGTATGGCCTGAGCAAAATTTTGTCACTCATAATTCAACCAATCAGGATTCATACAATTCTGTATGATTTGGGTTGGACAAATCTAAATCGATACAATGTATCTCTCATCACATTTCAATAAAAACTGCTACAGGGTGGCAGGGGTGTGCAAAATCACGTGTGTGATTTAGAATTTACGGGTAGGGTACAGTATATATACCGCCATTTCTAGACGCTATAACTTCACGTAAACCAATTCATTTACACATATTGGGATTTATTTTTTAGCAAAGACATGGAAAAGAATACATTTTGGCCAAAATTTATGATGAAATTAGATTTTTTAAAATTTTTTTTACTGGACATTTTTAATAGCAAAAAAGTCAAAAATATTGTTTTTTTTCTCAAAATTGTCGGTCTTTTTTTGTTTATAACACAAAAAATAAAAATCACACGGGCGATCACATACCACTGAAAGAAAGCTCTATTTTTGGGGAAAAGGGGCATAAATTTAATTTGGGTGCAGCGCGTTGTATGACCGCGCAATTGTCAGTTAAAGTAACGCAGCGCTGTAACGCAAATAAATGGCCTGGTCAGGAAGGGGGGGGGGGGATCCTCCGGTGGGCGAGTGGTTAAAGTAAACCTGTGATGGGAGGATATAGACAATGCCATGACTTGGTCAGCCAGAACTATCATGCCAGCCAAAGGAGGGAGAAGTGTCAGACATCAGGACCGCAGACAGCGATCTTTTTATTCATGCTCCGTCCATATATAGACGTTTGGAATTGTCGCCATGCTGCCCGCCATTTAAAAGCACGCTATTAAAATGTCAAAGCGCGCATCAGCGTGTTCAGGTGCCATTCATTTCAATGTCACCTAAAAATGTGGTGCTATTCTTCCACGATCGTCGTGTGACAAATCGCACAGACCAAATAGTGCAACACTTTTCACCAAAAGGAAGTTCCAGAAGTGAAACGCGTCTCGTGATTTGGTTTGCGGGATTGCAGCGTGATTTGTTGTGCGACAATCACACCGTGTTTTTAGGTACCATTGAAATGAATGGCACTTGAACAAGCTAATGTACAATTTGACATTTTAACAGGGAGTTTTGAAACTGCAGGCAGAATCACAGCAATTCAGCCCACGATTCAAAACGCCTATATGTGAATGGAGCCCAAAGCCCCACCTTTCATCATTAAATAGCAGCCCCAAAGATCCAGTCCAGTGACTTTGCCTACATTGAGATGATATCATCAGTCTGCTGCAGGCAGGAGGAAGCATTTTCTAAGTCTTCTCCCCCCCCCCAGTGATCATATTGCAACATTGTAACTTTGTAGCTGCAGGCAGGAGGAAGCATTTCCTTAGTCTCCTCCATCCAGTGATCAGAGTGCAACATTGTAACTTTGTAGCTGCAGGCAGGAGGAAGCATTTCCTTAGTCTCCTCCATCCAGTGATCAGATTGCAACACTTTATCTTTTTAACTGCAGGCAGGAAGTAGCATTTCCTCAGTCTCCTCCCTCCAGTGATCAGAGTGCAACAATGTAACTTGTAGCTGCAGGCAGGAGGAAGCATTTCCTCAGTCTCCTCCCTCCTGTGATCAGAGTGCAACATTGTGACTGTATAGCTGCATGCGGGAGGAAGCATGTCCACAGTCGTCTCCCCCCCCTAGTGATCAGATTGCAACTTTGTAGCTGCAGGCAGGAGGAAGCATTTCCTTAGTCTTCTCCCTCCAGTGATCATAGTGCAACATTGTAATTTGTTGCTGCAGGCAGGAGGGATAATTTCCTCAGTCTCCTCACTCCAGTGATCAGATTACAAAACTGCAATTTTGTAGCTGCAGGCAGAAGGAAGCATTCCCTCAATCTCCTCCCTCCAGTGATCAGATTGCAATTTTATAGCTGCAGGCAGGAGGAAGCATTTCCTCAGTCTCATCCCTCCAGTGATCAGATTGCAACACTGTAGCTTTGTGGCTGCAGGCAGGAGGAAGCATTTTGTCAGTCTCCTTCCTCCAGTGATCAGATTGCAACACTGTAGCTTTGTAGCTGCAGGCAGGAGGAAGCATTTTGTCAGTCTCCTCCATCCAGTGATAAGATTTCAACACTGTAACTTTGTAGCTGCAGGCAGAAGGAAGCATTCCTTCAATCTCCTGCCTCCAGTGATCAGATTGCAACATTGTAACTTTGTAGCAAAGGCAAAAGGCTTCAGCAGAGGCTGATCTGTGTCAGACATTTGTGTACACAGCCTAGAACCAGGATTTACATGACTGTGTCATTTCTGAGTCAAAATCTCAGTCTAGGAAGTAGATGAGGATTCGATGATGCCTGAATAAAGATGGCCCAATCCGTCTGGAGAGAAAAGCAGATGAAGGCATTGTCAGAGGTTGTACTGTGATTTGTAGGAGACATAGCTTAGCATGTATACACGTATAACGGATGATAAGTCCACATTACCAAGGAAGAGCTCACCAGTTGCTGCCGAGTTACATACTGTTGTACTCAGTAGTTCTCACTTCCGAATTTGCAGCCTGGAACTTGCAGATGTTTAGTGGCTCTTCACTCTGGTGACATTTAATCCATATTACCATAGGAACTCCAGTACAAAGCATTTTCCTGCCTTGTTTTATCTCCCGGGAGGATTCATGGAATCAAAGCACTCTTTATCAGGGACAACCTCATAACTAGACGACATGACCCACAAGGAACGGATCTTCCTGTAATTATACAAGTCATTCACTGGGGCTGGCCAGGGGGGCTTCAGGCACTCCGCTAAGTACTGTGTGACATGAAATCAAACCGCAGGACACAATCACATTGCAATTCCAGGATTACACTCCATTCTGTACAAGGACTTAAGAAATATCCAACAGGGGCGGACTGACCATTTGGAAACTCAGGCACTGCCCGAGGGCCCGGGGTCAGTAGGGGGCCCCATGAGATGCCCCTGGTACCTTTTTCATAGGCTTTTTTTTAGTTTGGGCAAGGACACAGGGGCCCCATGATCCCCTATTGCCCGGGGGCCCCATGAGTTTCAGTCCGCCCCTGTATCCAAATGATAGATTCATACATTGGTGACGCTCATATTCATTATGTACAGTTGACTTTAATCTGCTAAAATTTTCCTTCCCCCCCATCAAAATGGTTGTGATATTTTAAAATCTTACCATCTTCATTACATATCTTATTTTAGATCCAGTGACATCATCACTGGATCTCTGTGCTTCTCTAAGCAATCCTGGCATACCATGGCTGGTGGAAGGGTGCCTGCAGGGTACTGTACATAGCTTTCCAAAAACATCACAGCTCCTTGCCTTAGTACTCCTGTCAAGATGCCACAGCCCTGGTGCAAGCAGGCAAAGTTAGTGCACAAGGGCAGCAAATACGCAGTGAAAGCAGGTGGCTGGCCACAATTTTACCACCCCTTCTCCTTCAACTATCTAACCCAAAAAACAAAATGGCAGACACTCTAGTCTGTACAGATTGCCAGGGCTATGATGCTTCACTTTGTGGTTTGTCGCATTGGGCAGGTTGCGTCACTTGCCAAACTCACTCATTGAAGTCAATAGGACCTTTGCCATATTTGTGTGCCGGCCACCTGGCCTGTGTTTGTAGTGCCGTATTGCCATGAAAAACTCCCATTAAGATTGTAAAAAAAAACTGCCAATCAGGAGGCAGTATTGCCTCCAGGACACCCACAGACCACTGCTCAACTGCCATGGAAAGGCGATTTGCCACGGATCACTTTTTAGTGGGCCAGTAAATTCCACCGTCAATGTGAACAAGGCCTTAGAGGGGAAAATAAGAACTTCTTATATGTATACATGTTCCAGGCCAGTCACATAGAAGGTACTGCAGGAAGGTTGTCAATATAAAGCCAGGCAAACAGCATTTCTAGGAGAGGACTGCAGTAGTGAGTACCACACCAAGGACCGTCCCAACGACCACACCAGGGACCATACCAAGTACCACACCAGGGACCATACCAAGGACCACACCAGAGACCATACAAAGAACCATATCAGGGTCCATATAAAGAACCATACCAGGCACCATACCAAGGACCACACCAGGGTCCATACCAATGACCATATCAGGATCCATATCAAGACCCATATCAGGGTCCATACCAAGGGTCACCTCAGGGTCCATACCAAGAACCACACCAGGGTCCATACCATGGACCATAGCAGAATCCATACTAAGGATCACACCAGGGTCCATACCAAGGACCACACCAGGGTCCATACCATGGGCCATAGCAGAATCCATACCAAGGATCACACCAGGGTCCATACCAAGGACCACACTAGGGTCCATACCAAGGACCACATGAGAATACATACCAAGGACCACACTAGGGTCCATACCAAGGACCACATGAGAATACATACCAAGGACCACACCAGGGTCCATACCAAGGATCTCACCAAGGTCCATACCAAAGACCGCACCAGGGTCCATACCAGGGACCATACCAAGGTCCATACCAGGAACCATACCAAGGACCATACTGGAGCTGGCAATAGTGTATTAATGTGAATGTGTAATGATAGTAACACAGCTTAAACTTTGATTAAATTTCTACATGTTTTGTGTCAAGGACTCGAGATTAATAGCTTGTTTATGTTCATGTTGCTTTTTAATTGTCCCCAGGAACACGACATCGAGACAGCTCATGGAATCGTCCACGTCACTATGTGTGGGACACCAAGACAGAACAGACCCCGTTATCCTGACATACCATGATATCGGACTGAACCGTAAGTCAGATTTTATTCAGCTAATTATTCTATACTTGCGTACTATTCTATAGTCTTTATATTTGCCAATTATGTGGCAAATGAGGTTTAATGTTGATAAATGTAAGGTTCTACACTTGGGGGCTAAGAATATGCATGTATCATACATATTAGGGGGGGTACAACTGGGGGAATCAATGGTGGAGAAGGATCTGGGGGTTCTGGTAGATCACAAGCTTAATAATGACATGCAATGCCAAGCTGCAGTTTCTAAAGCGAGCAAAATCCTCTCTTGTATTAAAAGAGGTATAGACTCCAGAGAGAGAGATATCATTTCCCCCGGTACAAATCATTAGTAAGACCTCATCTGGAATATGCAGTTCAGTTTTGGGCACCAATTCACAAAAAAACATTGGGGAACTGGAGAAAGTACAGAGAAGGGCAACCAAACTGATAAGAGGCATGGAGGAGATCAGCTATGAGGAAAGATTAGAGGAACTGAATTTATTCTCTCTTGAGAAGAGGAAATTAAGGGGGGATATGATCTCCATGTATAATACATAAGGGGGGATATGATCTCCATGTATAATACAAAAGGGGGGATATGATCACCATGTATAATACATAAGGGGATATGATCTCCATGTATAATACATAAGGGGGGGATATGATCACCATGTATAATACATAAGGGGGATATGATCTCCATGTATAATACATAAGGGGGGGATATGATCACCATGTATAATACATATGGGGGATATGATCACCATGTATAATACATAAGGGGGGATATGATCTCCATGTATAATACATAAGGGGGGATATGATCTCCATGTATAATACATAAGGGGGGGATATGATCTCCATGTATAATACATAAGGGGGGATATGATCTCCATGTATAATACATAAGGGGGGATATGATCTCCATGTATAATACATAAGGGGGATATGATCCCCATGTATAATACATAAGGGGGGATATGATATCCATGTATAATACATAAGGGGGATATGATCTCCATGTATAATACATAAGGGAGGGGATATGATCTCCATGTATAGTACATAAGGGGGGATATGATCTCCATGTATAATACATAAGGGGGGGATATGATCTCCATGTATAATACATAAGGGAGGATACGATCTCCATGTATAATACATAAGGGGGGATATGATCTCCATGTACAATACATAATATGTCATGTATAATACATAAGGGGGATATGATCTCCATGTATAATACATAAGGGAGGATACGATCTCCATGTATAATACATAAGGGGGGATGTGATAACCATGTATAATACATAAGGGGAGATATGGTCACCATGTATGATACATAAGGGGGGATATGATCACCATGTATAATACATAAGGGGGATATGATCTCCATGTATTATACATAAGGGGGGATATGATCTCCATGTATAATACATAAGGGGGGATATGATCTCCATGTATAATACATAAGGGGGGATATGATCTCCATGTATAATACATAAGGGGGGATATGATCTCCATGTATAATGCATAAGGGGGATATGATCAACATGTATGATACATAAGGGGGGGATATGATCACCATGTATAATACATAGGGGGGATATGATCAACATGTATAATACATAAGGGGGGATATGATCTCCATGTATAATACATAAGGGGGATATGATCACCATGTATAATGCATAAGGGGGATATGATCAACATGTATAATACATAAGGGGGGATATGATCTCCATGTATAATACATAAGGGGGGGATATGATCACCATGTATAATACATAAGGGGGGATATGATCTCCATGTATAATACATAAGGGGGGATATGATCTCCATGTATAATACATAAGGGGGGGGGATATGATCTCCATGTATAATACATAAGGGGGATATGATCACCATGTATAATACATAAGGGGGATATGATCACCATTTATAATACATAAGAGGGATATGATCTCCATGTATAATACATAAGGGGGGATATGATCTCCATGTATAATACATAAGGGGGGATATGATCTCCATGTATAATACATAAGGGGGATATGATCTCCATGTATAATACATAAGGGGGATATGATCTCCATGTATAATACATAAGGGGGATATGATCACCATGTATAATACATAAGGGGGGATATGATCTCCATGTATAATACATAAGGGGGATATGATCTCCATGTATAAATACATCAGTGGTTCATATAGTGAAGGCAGGAGAAAGGTCAGCATCCGTGGGGGGCTTTAAACCCTGACACTAGACTTACACTTCAATACCACCCAACTTTTTGAGATAACAGGAAGATGACACACCCCTGCCATGCCCCATTTCTGCAGACCACAAAGAACTGATGTGCAATGATTGGATAAACCCCAAAGTGCTTTTTTCACCACTTTTCAAAAAAGTGTCCTTCAAAAATAAGAAATGCAATAATTGAAGGTTTTAATGAAAGGTTTAGAGAAGTACAACTGTTCCCAACCTCAATCCTCAAGTACCCCCAACAGGTCATGTTTTTAGCATTTCCTTCTCTTTGCTTTAAATCAATGCAAAAGCTAGATACCAGCCAGTGCTAATGGACCAAGGGCCCTATCAATTCTGCATTGATAATGACATTCACACAGAAGGTTTTCCTATTAACATCCAAGAAGCAAGTCCTCCAAAAACTGTACAGGTGTCGAATGAACCTCGCTAACCTCTTCAGAGGAGAAGGCGCACCAGCTTCATGCATTACCATAAAAATAATTTACTGGATGAAAAAAAATTCCAATATACTCACAAAGGTATGTATAATCGTGCACATCAACACAATACAGTAATTTGATCCTATGGCAAGATAAACAGAATGCCCATAAGCTGGGAATGAGGCTTACCTATTTCAAGGGCAGAGCCCGCTAAACCAGAGCCACCTGTCTCTGCGGCTCTGATGAAGATAGTAATTGGTATTTATGAAGGGAAATTACCAAAACATGACCTGATGGAGCTACTTAAGACCTGAGGTTTCCAAACAACTGGTGTAGTATCAGAGGTGGACTGACAACTCATGGGGCCCCCAGGCAATGGGGGATCATGGGGCCCCTGTGTCCTTGCCCAAACTCGAAAAAGCCTATAAAAAAGGTACCAGGGGCATCTCATAGGGCCCCCTACTGACCCTGGGCCCTTGGGCAGTGCCCGAGTTTCCAAATGGTCAGTCCGCCCCTGTGTAGTATTATACGTTTGGTAGTTAAATAGTACATTTTGTGGCCAATACATCAGATCTAAAAGAGGGACAAATGAGGAGGAAAGAAGAACAGAGGGCTTGGGTCCCGAAAAAGTTATAGTTTCTCCAAATCAGAAAGACTGAGGAGCTAGGCATTTTTTTTCCGACAAGCAGATAATACAAGTGAATAACAGTATAAGTACTTGTTCCTGAGAGGTAAGGCTGCACTTAAGAGTGGGGGTTCAGATTTTGGCTAGCTGGGTTTCTTTGAATCTGACATTTTTTTCTATTTAAGTAGGGGGTTCTCACACTTCAGCAAAAAAACTGTCTTATAAGGACACCAACTAGTAAAACAAATTAAAAAAAAGCTTTCCACTGTAGGCTGTTGCTAGCACAATGACTATCAGACTGTATACAGAAAAGAACAACAGGTTCACATGGTGGCCGAACCCCACCGTGCAGCCATACATCAGCACTGATGAAAAATAAGTAGTCTGTTAAAACCATTCTGTTACAGTTACAATGTAATCTACAATGGAGGTATCTAAGTCCTGCAATGGAACCTTGACGCTGGTTATTCACTTTACAGATAAAAGCTGCTTCAATGCTCTATTCAGCTGTGAGGACATGCATGAAATCACCCAGCACTTCTCCGTATGTCATGTGGATGCTCCCGGCCAACACGAAGGAGCCCCTTCCTTTCCATCAGGGTAAGTCACTGATGAGTCCATCTCACTGTGATCTCTGCTTTGACCTTGTGTGATGTGAGAGGTTAATGGACCACTTAGACCTGTCAGCCTGATAGAGACTTACAGGAATTAAGATTTAACAAAGATTAAGGAGTTTAGGTAACGAGACTCTAAGGAAATCAATTCTCTAATGATAAGTAGCTTTCTTTCTTCCCTCCTTCTTTGCCTTTGGATGTCCATACCCTCAAATTAAACCTGATAGTGTGCCCTTTCAGCTCATATCTATTATATAACTGTAGCTTGAATATGTTTTGGTAAATACCTGAAACCTGAATACCTTTAAATACCTGAAAATCTAAAATTGTGCCTGTGTCCAAATTATACATTGTACATTAATAGGTAGGTATATTCAACAGAGGACCCATGGTTCAAACCTCATAAAACATATCAAATGATCAGCGGGAGGAGGTGAGAAGAGTGAGAAAGAAAGACAGAAAAGAGGGAAAAAGGGAAAGAATAGAGATGGAGGTGATGTGAGAGCGCCTCAACAGGTAGCTCTTTCAGCGCTGGGGCTCAACACCCTACCACCTTTCTGTTTATCATGTAAGATGCGACCTAGTTTCTTGGGAAGCATAATCCAAGAAAGTTTGTTCTTGGTAGCGATTATTTGAAGAACTGGTGATTTCCATGATTTGGCAGGCTATATTTTTGCTGCCAGAAGTACAAAGAATATTAAGGTCTAGGTATGTTTAGGGATATCTGTAAAAAATTCTTGTATTTTTTAGTATATTGACAGTTGTTACAGTGTAGATAAGAGTAAATGTACTTGTCCAGAACCATCTAACCCTGAGGTAGAACCATCAAGCATGGTGTCCTCCTGTCCGCAGCCTTGGAGGCAGAGAGAAGACGCTTGGGAATTTACGAGGGTTCTTCAAAAAGTTTCTGCACGTTTTTTTAAATTCTATTTTAATTATATATATATATATATATATATGTATATGTGTGTGGAAACATTTTGAAGACCCCTCATATTCTGGCGAGTCTGGAGGGGACTAAATACCATCTGGTAAGGACTTTAAAGTTTGCTTCGACCAGTATACATTTATAACACTGGGAGCTTCCAGGAAGGACACACCATTAACCGTGAGGTGATGCTACAATCCGAAGCATTTACTTTAGTGAATTCTTTTAAGCATCTTTGAAGGTTCTCATTTATTCAGGTCAACCTTTCTCAACCATTTCAACAAAGAGGAACCCTTGAAATAACTTTCCATTCCCAGGAAACCCCTGCTAAAAATGTCTATATCTACAACTCATGGTATGTTAGTGTAATGGTTAGTGGGAAGCATGCTCTTTACACCTGAGGTTATTGGGAAGAATTACCCTTTACAGATAGCCAAAAAGATCAATGGTGTCATTGCTCAAGAAACCCCTAGACAGATCTGCAATAAACTTAGGGTTCCATGGAACCCTGGTTGAGAAACTCTGATCCAGGTCATGGTATATCTAGTAGTAGTTAGTCACCTTCAACTAGACTTGTTCTGTTGAAGATGTTTTGTAGCTCATCCAAGCCACATACTCAGTTCCAGTGAGTGTCAGGAAAATATCCCAGCATTTACTGTATATCCAAAAACAGGTAGCAGATAAAGGGATTGAGATGTTGGTGCTGCCTGTGTATATAAATCCTGGGATATGTTCCTGGCACCCAGAACTGAAGAAGCAATTCGGATAAGGTATGAAATGTCTTCAACATTGCAGAACAAGTCTGATTGAAGGTTCTCTGAGTGGAGTTGTTCAAAACTTAACACTATCTCTGTTCAAACATGAATCTCTGAGATTCAAAACTCATTCTTGGAGACATCACACATTTTTCTTCAGAGGTCCTCTCTGACTCCTTCCTTGATTCCAGAACCAAGAAGACATCTTTCTCTGCTTTTTACACTTTACAATGAAAACCTGCTGTTTTGCATGCTTAGGAACTTTCACTGAAGGCCTCTCATAGGTTAAAGCACATACTTCTTGATCTTCAGAACAGGAACTCACTTCAATAAAAATAATATTAGTGGCACTGTTTAACAGTCCTAATCATTGGAGTCTCTCACTTGCTTCCACAGTCTATGGAGGTCCCAGGAGGGCATGGTTCCAGCCCTTTGCTCCCAAAGGATATGAACATTCCATCTTGAGGTCATCATGGCTAGCTTCAGTAATCTTTCACCAGCAAAGCAATGTTACACCTTTGACTGTAGAATGACCTTCAAACTCCAGCAACAGGACAAATAACTGAACCATTAATCAGGGAACAGAGCCTCAGTTACTCAAAAATTAGAAAATAGGGTCAGTGTTCCTATAGACCCTGTCAAAAACCTTGCATTCCATCTCACCTTCCTTTATTTGCTCTACAGCAGGTATTCTCAACCAGAGTTCCATGGAACCCTAGGGTTTTTTCAGAGGATGCTTTGGCTGATTAACCTCCCATTTGATGCCTTTTCTGGGTCCAACACCACTTGACAGAGGTGGTTTCATGACACCAATGAGCTATTACACTGTCTGTAGGAGTGGCATTTTGGCCACCAATGGAAGGGGCATTTTTCCCACTAACCACCAATAAATTAGTTTTAGCAGGGATTCCCTAATAGAAAATTATTTCAAAGGCTCCTCTGGAGCGAAAGGGTTGGCAAAGCCTGGTCTAGATCCTACATAGGCACACAGGCTCTCTATGGGCTATCCTGTCTGAGAGTTATCCTCTTGAGACTGAAGATGTTTGATGGTTTGTTGGGTGCTTTGGTGCATGCATGCAGCTCTTGAGTGTCGATTTTCTAATGTCTCCCGCACAATATGGGTGATTAGCTCCTCACCTACAAGGAAAGGAGGCTAGAGTTGGAGGGATGAAGAATGCAGCTTTTGCTTCAGTTCCTATTTTCTAGATTAGAAGAACTATTGTACCTCTGGAAAGTTTTATGTTTTAAGATGGCATTTTGCTAATTAGAAGGTATTAAATTAATGCTAAAATATTGCTATTAATTATTTTCTTTCTTTAACTATTCATTCCAGGTATGTGTACCCATCAATGGACCAACTGGCTGAAATGTTGCCTGGAGTAGTACAGCAGCTTGGGTAACTGTCACTTTTATTGTCTGAAAATCTTCATGGCAATTGTTCTTTATGTTTCATCACAAACTACCAACCCTGGTTGAACCCTGCCACCCTCTCTCTAATGCTGCACTGGGCACAAAATGCCATAACACCTCAGTGTTCATGTTGGGGGAAACAATGTTTAAAATTTTTGTTGTTACTTAGGTTCAGTCCACACTTGAGTGATTATGAAGCATGTTTCCCGAAGCACTTCAATGCTCAACCTCAAGTTTCCATATATATTCAATGGTGCCCCTTCACATCTGTTGCTTGAAGCTTGTGTATTCAAAGCATGAGCTTCTTGGGAGCCACCAATGTTGGTCCTATAGACTTCAAAGGGAGTGTCTGAAAACCACCTAAAAATGGAAGTAACACATTTTGTCTTTCTTGCCTTTCCCAATTTCTTGCCATTCCTTCTCCTAGTATCTAGCTGTCCAATGGCTAAAACAAACAACTGAATGCACGCACAAGCATACAGAATCCTCCAAGCACACTTAAGAAGCTCAAGTGAAAACCTATCCTTAAATGGTTCACCAATTAAAGGAGGATATCAATTAAACAACACATGCTGATATAAAGTTGAATGCTAGGCAGATATAAAAGACGTAAATGAATGCAGCTCTGTTTTAATTAGTACATCATTAAGGGTTCATCCGTATAACTACTGCTACTGCCCTGACCACCAAAGGGGGGTGTTAAAATGTCACTGCCACTGCACTGACCACCACTTACCACTGGTAAAGGGGAGTTAAAAACACCACCACTCATCACCAAAGGTGGGGAAATTCAATAGCACTGCTACTGAACACCAGTGCCAAGGAGGGGTGTTAACAGCACCACTGCCACTATTGCTGGAGGTTATTATTGTACTCTCTGACACGTGTATTGGGGTTATTTTGTGTCTACTGATAACAATGCTTGGCGTTATTATTGCATCTACTGACACCAAGGCTGTGGGTATTTTTGCATTCACTGACACCAATGCTTGAGTTATTTCTTCTACTGACACCAATGCTGGGGTTGTTATTGCTCCTACTGACACCAATGCTAGGGTTGTTATTGCTCCTACTGACACCAATGCTAGGGGTTTTACTGCATCCACTGATGCTAATGCTGATGATTTTATTATTGTATCTACGGACATCAATGCTGAGGGTTATAACTGCATCCACTGACACCAATGCAGAAGGTGGTTATTGCATCTACAGACAACAATGCTGAGAGTTATTACTGCATTCTATGATATCAATGCTGAAGTTATTACCGCTTCTACTGGCACCAACACTGGGATTACTATTGCTTCCACTGGCACCATTGCTATGGTTAATATTGTTTCCACTGACACCAATGCTGGGGGTTTTACTGCATCCACTGATGCCAATGCTGAAGATTTTATTATTGGATCCACGACACCAATGCTGGGGGTTATTATTATACACGGACACCAATGGATTATTATTGCATACACGGACACCAATGCTGGGGGTTATTATTGCATACACGGACACCAATGCTGAGGGTTATTATTGCATACATGGACACCAATGGGTTATTATTGCATACGGACACCAATGCTGGGGGTTATTATTGCATACACGGACACCAATGCTGGGGGTTATTATTGCATACATGGACACGCTGAGGGTTATTATTGCATACATGGACACCAATGCTGGGGGTTATTATTGCGTCCACAGACAACAATGCAGAAGGTTATTATTGCATCTACAGACAACAATGCTGAGGGGCTTATTATTGCATCCACTGACATCAATGCTGGAGTTATTAATGCTTCCACTGACACCAACAATGGGATTATTATTGCTTCCACTGACACCAGTGCTATGGTTAATATTGTTTCCACTGACACCAATGCTGGAGGTAATTATTGGATCCACTGATGCCAATGCTGAGGATTATCTTTGCATCCACTGACACCAATGCTGAGGGTTATGCTGAGGTTTATTATTGCTTCCACTGACACCAATTCTGGTGGTTATTTTTGCCTCCATTGACACCCATGCTAAGGATTATTATTGCACTCACTGATAGCAATGCTGGGGGCTATTATTGCATCTACTGACACAGATGTTGGGGTTATTATTGCATCCAGTGGTGCCAGTGCTGAAGGTGATTATAATATCTAATAATGTCAATGCTGAGGGTTATTACTGAATCTAATGGCATAAATGCTGAGGGTTATTATAGTACCCACTGACACCAATGCTGAGGGTTATTATTGCATCCACTGACACCAATGCTGGGGGTTATTATTGCATCCACTGACACAATGCTGGGGGTTATTACTGCATCCGCTGACACCAGTGCTTGGCTTAATTTGCTTCCACTGGCACTAATGTTGGGAGATATTATTGCATTCAATAACACAAATACTAGGCGGTTTTATTATGGCCACTGACACAGAGACTCCAACTTCTTCATTGTTCATTGCAGTATGTTGCAAAATGCAACAGTATCAAAATGTGGGGCTTTAAGGTGCATTATAGTATATACATCCACTGACACCAATGCTCGGGGCTATTATTGCATCTAATGACTCCAGTGCTGAGGGTTGTTATTGCATCCACTGGCACCAATCCTGAGTGTTATTATTGCACTCCCTGACACCAATGCTGAGGGTTATTATTGCCAGGGGTGATTAATGCATCAACTGACACCAATGCTGTGATTTACTAACACTGATGTTGGGGGTTATGCTGGGGCAATGCTGGGGGCTGTTACTGTATCTAATGACTCCAGTGCTGAGGGTTGTTATTGCATCCACTGACACCAATCCTGAGTGTTATTATTGCACTCACTGACACCAATGCTGAGGGTTATTATTGCCAGGGGTGATTATTGCCTCAACAAACACCAATGCCATGATTTACTAACACTGATGCTTGGGGTTATTGCAGCCAAATGACTCCAAATTCCTCTTCATTGCAGTATGTTGAAAAAATGCAGCAGTTTCAAAACTCTAGGGCCATGAGGTGCATTACAGTAAATGCATTTTGAAAGGGCTACCTTACTTGATTCAATTCACATCAATGCAAGAAAGCACACTGCCATTGTGTGGCCCTCTGGAGGTGTCAAAGATTGCACTTGAGGTCCTCAGGTAGACCACCACTGGCCTACCTAATTCCTATGTATATGGTGTCTGCTTCCCTGGTCTGTTGTGACTGCGCCCCCTGCTGGACATACAGCATTAAGGCAGTTGCATCCTCCGGCCATAGCACAAAATGATTTTTTTTCTTTATCCTTTTTTGTGCAATAGCCTAAGAAGTGTGATCGGAATGGGAATCGGAGCTGGAGCCTACATCCTTACAAGATTCGCTGTAAGTAACCTTCTCTTTTCCCAATATAAGTAGAATTTAAAACTGACCAGAACCTTGCCTTCCCGTCCCATAGACCAATCCCTGATCTAGTTTTATAATTACTTACCAGCAACCAGGGGCGGACTGACCATTGGGGAACTCGGGCACTGCCTGAGGGCCCAGGGTCAGTAGGGGGCCCCATGAGATGTCCCTGGTACCTTTCATAGGCTTTTTTGGGTGTGGTTTGAGTGTGGGCGAGGACACAGGGGCCCCATGATCCCCTATTGCCCGGTGTCCCCATGAGTTGTCAGTCCGCCCCTGCCAGCAACCACAGGCTCCCATGGAACCAGAGTCCAAGTACAGCAGTGGAGCATGTGACCATTGGGTGACAACCCTCACTGGAACCTGCAGTCTTGGTGTCTTTGCCCCATCTCCTACCTGCTCCTTAACAAGCGGAAAAACATCATCGTACTGTTGCAGAGAGCACTTCCACTGTAAGCCTGATTTCGGCTTTTGGATGGTGGAATGTCATTATAAGAAAAGATTTCAAATGATTACTTCAACTAAATTAAAAAATTGCAACTTTTGAAGGGATGCCTGAACGGTATAAACGCCTTTTCATGTATTTGCTCGGAGTTGAATCTTAAATCGTGTTTATTGCCCCAATTATAAAGTTCTGATTAGATTTCACATTTAGCATTAAAGAGATTTATCTCCTCGCTTACATTCACAATGAACCGCTTTGGGAATGGGAACTGACTGCTATCATGGTGACGGCACATTTGAAAATGACTGAATTGTGCTCTGAACAATGAACTCTTTCTGTTCCAGCTGAACCACCCCACCATGGTGGAGGGCCTGGTGCTCATTAACATTAACCCATGTGCAGAAGGATGGATGGACTGGGCGGCCACTAAGGTAGGTGGACTACACGATTCCATGCGATTCCAGTTTTTATTCCATTTCATTATTTATTTATTTTTATGTTTTCCTTATTAAACTGATGATTTATTATTTTTAATGATTTATATATCATCTTTATTTCACAAATAAACATTTAATGCATGATGAAATAGCCACTGTATAGTAAGAAAGGGCAGTCCTGCCTGCATGCTTGTTGGCAGCCTGTGTATAACTGACTAGGCCAGTGCAGAGAGAGGGTGAGGGAATGCTTCAGAGTCAGCATGTAAGCTGATATTTCCCACCACTCTAGCCTATAATTTGTCATTTTTGATGTTTTAGCATATTTGGCTATTTACATAAAATTTCACTTCACAAATATACATTCTCAAATGCATGCCAATACTGTTAATAAGCCATGGCATGCTTGTTGGCAGCCTGTGAATAATAGAGAGGTGGAGAGAGGGGGTTAGAGAGGGATCTGCCTACTGCATGGCTCATCTGCCTCTGAGTCATCTAGCACAGTCCGTAATCTCATCTTTCCTCCTATGCTGCCTTATAATCTACCTTTTGTGATCATTTACATAAAATAGTCATTTTACTAGTAAACATTTAATACATTGTGCAGCAGTCACTGTACAATAAGAAAGAGACCAATCCTGCTTGCATGCTTGTTGGCAGCCTGTGTATAACTGACTAGGCCAGATGGAGAAAGAGGGTAAGGGACTGCCTGTGAGTCTTTAAGCTCTGTATGTAATCTGATCTATCCCACAACTCTGGTCTATCATTTATCATTTTTGTTGAATTATTATTTTTGATAATTTACATAAAAACTTTCTTTACAAATAAACATTTAATACATAGTGCAACAGTCCCTGTATAATAAGTAAGGCAGTCCTGTATGCCTGCTTGTTGGCAGCCTGTGTATAACTGACTAGGCCAGATGGAGAAAGAGGGTAAGGGACTGCCCCTGAGTCTTTGAGCTATGTATGTAATCTGATCTATCCCACAACTCTGGTCTATCATTTATCATTTTTGTTGAATTATTATTTTTGATAATTTACATAAAAACTTTCTTTACAAATAAACATTTAATACATGATGCAACAGTCACTGTATAATAAGTAAGGGCAGTCCTGTATGCCTGCTTGTTGGCAGCCTGTGTATAACTGACTAGGCCAGTTGGAGAAAGAGAGTAATGGACTGTCTCTGAGTCTTTGAGCTCTGGTCTATCATTTATCATTTGTGTTGAATTATTATTTTTGCAGCTCTCTGGATTGACCCATGGCTTAACCGATATGGTGATCTCCCATCTGTTTGCCAAGGTAAGTTGGAGAATTTGTAGAAAATTAAAGTAATGACCTTTTATCATTGTAATACAAATACATATATATATATATATATGTTTTTTCCAATAAATACATTATTATTATACAGGATTTATATTATTATTATTATTATTATAATACAGGATTTATATTATTATTATTATACAGGATTTATATATATTATTATTATTATACAGGATTTATATATATTATTATTATTATTATTATATATTATTATACAGGATTTATATATTATTATTATTTTATATTATTATTATTATTATACAGGATTTATATATTATTATTATTATTATTATTATACAGGATTTATATATATTATTATTATTATACAGGATTTATATAGAGCCAACAGTTTGCTCAGCGCTTTACAATATAACGGGAGACAATACAGCAACAATACAGTTCAATACAAGAGGGCTAGGAGGGCCTGATCATGGGAGCTTACAATCTAAGAGGGAGGGGCTAGTGGTACAAAAGGTAGAAACTGTGGGGGATGGACTGGTAGGAAGAGTAGAATATTCCATTATTAGCTGATGGCAGGATATATATATATATATATATATTTATGCGCGTTTATGATCGTTTGCCTTTAGAAGCGTTTTTTAAAGATAACCTCAGGAGACCTTCCCAAATGCCCAGAATGCACTGAAAAAACAGTAAAAAATTAACTATTTCAGACATTTTGAGAGAAATAGAGAGAGCAGAAGCAGAGAGAGCAGTATGTGTTGAGATTAGATATCTTTTTTTTTGTGGCGTTTGGATGTGTTCCGGCTCATTTCTGTGCAGGAATTATTGCAGCCGTGTCTAACATATTTACTTTCATGTGAAACCTCAAAGTATGGTGTACCGGGTCCACTTGAGTACCAGGAAAACGTTTTGCATGCATTTTTCATGATGAAAAAAGGCTCTGAACAGAATCTTAAAATGGAAGAGTTAAAAAAAATTTCCAAACGCAAACGCTTGTAAGCGCGGTTAGCCATGTTTAGCTGCGTTTACAAGCGTTTGGTGTTTGAAACGCTGATAAAATCTACTTCTGAACGCAAGTTTGGTGCGTTAAAAAAAATGACTGTAAACTCAACTGCCTGTAAACTACTGTAAACGACAATGTGTACATGGACACATAGGAAAACATGAGGGAGAGTTCAGGGGCTGCTGAAAAAAAAACACAGAAAAGCTCCAAATCGTGAGTTTATCAGCTGCAGTGTACATGGAGCCTTAAAAAAAAAAAGTTATAATCCTATACTCAGACATTGATCTGAGCAGGACCTGCAGTGAGAAATGGTGGGCATTATATAGTTACATACAGGGGCGCTGTAAACTCGGGCACTGCCAGAGGGCCTGGGGTCAGTAGGGGCCCCCATGAGATGCCCCCGGTACCTTTTTCATAGGCTTTTTTGAGTTTGGGCAAGGACACAGGGGCCCCATGATCCCCTATTGCCCGGGGGCCCCATGAGTTGTCAGTTCGCCCCTGGTTACATAGTTAGTCTGGCTGAAAAAAAAAAGACAAAAGTCCATCCAGTTCAACCATTAAAAAAAAGTTATAATCCTACAGCCACAGTTGATCCAGAGGAAGGCAAAAAAAACCCAGCAAAGCATGAACCAATTTGCTCCTGCAGGGAAAAATATTCCTTCCTGATCCCCCGAGAGGCAATCGGATATTCCCTGGATCAACGTCACCTATAAATGTTAGTATCCAGTTATATTCTGTGTATCCAAGAAAGAATCCAGGACTTTTTTAAAGCAATCCACTGAGCTGGCCAGAACCAACTCTTGAGGGAGTCTATTCCACATTCTAGTGTCCAGTTATATTCTGTGTATCTAAGAAAGAATGATATTTTATTATATTATCAAATGATATCAAATAATATACCTTGAAAAATGTGTGACCATAGAACGAGTTGTTTTCATTTTCTGGGTTGAAAACAAGGAGATGCCCTTTAATTCTTTAGCATCGCACAACCAGCACTGATGTATTGGAACCCAAATGACGCAGGATTACAAGTGATTCACAATCACTCCTTTCATCTTTTTTAGTAGTAATAAAATGTATTTTTTCCGGTCATATGCAGTGCGTGTCATCCAAGCGTCTGTAAATAAACGCCTTTTTGCTGTTATCACCACGGGCAATAAGTAATTGCTGGTAACTCGCGGTGGGCTATTATCGGTATTACAGGCAGAGTATGCCCATGGTCCCGAATCCCGTCCTTATGCGTACGTGAAAGATCTGGTGTTGTTGATGTTGTCGGGGCTCTAGAGAAACAGCTTGTGTCCTGACCTACTTTACAAATTCATAACCGCAGGGAATCACGGCTTCGCTCTCCGTAGTATAATTGTTTTCAGCTGAAACTTTCCATTTTCTATGTGTCTGTCTAGGATGAAATCCACAACAACCATGATTTGATTTACACCTACCGCCAGCACATCATGAGCATCAACCAAAATAACCTAGCACTTTTCGTGAAATCCTACAACAGGTAAATGTGGAATGGTTCAGAGGGTGTAAGCATGGTCTAGGCAATGTGGATAGGAACCATAGCTTCCTGCATGCAATCCATCTATGGGTGGGGGCTGACACAATTTTCTGCCATGCTATATACACTAACTCCCCTGGTCATCAATGTGTTGGTTTTTAGCCCCTCAACCCTTTGACAAATAGTTGGGCTACAACTCAGCTTCCTTTCTCAACCAGGGTGCCCAAGGACCCTGGGGTGCCTTCAGACTTCTTCAGGGGTGCCTTTAGACTTCTTCAGGGGTGCCTTCAGACTTCTACAGGTGTGCATTGGCAAAAAAGCCCAAAAACTGTATACAAGCCAGCAGGTGGATCAGTCCTGTCTTTTTAGTACACAATGCCACATGTTTTCATTGTACACTTTTATGATCTTCTAGCTGCCAGCATCCTAACAACCAATAACAACATCAGTTGATAGGAGGATGTTGGATGCATGCACATCATCCTTGTTTGGCCCTCCCCTGCCCCTTTCCTTCAGCACTTGGGTTACATTAGCAGATTGAGGGAGAGAAAATGAGAGAGACACACTGAAATACTAGTCAGTGTACAAAGGTGTATTTGCTTTGTTAGAATAGGTTTTTACATTTTAGCTTGGGGTACCCTGAGATTCTGCAGAATTTTAAAGGGTGCCTTGAGATTATCCATAATTCTAAAGGGTGCCTTGGCTGAAAAAAGGTTGAGAAACACTGGTCTAGTAGATGACCTCTAAAAACAACAAGATTTTAGTTTCCAGCAGAGCAGCTAAGGGTAGACAAGTAAACAGGAAAAATAAACCAGAAGCTCCACCTGCTGGACAGAAGTGAAAATGCCAAGTATTCATAAACAATATTCTACACTGGTGTTAGGCAATCACGACAATCCAACTGTGGTGAAACTTTAAATCCCAAGAGGAACTGCAAGACTGGTAGGACTTCCATAGGTAGAAGCATGAAGGGCTTTGTAGTTTCATCACAGCTGTAGTGCCACAGTTGCCTATCTGTGTTATAAATTTACTTCACTAAAAAAAAAATTTTTTTTTTTTACCTAGACTCTTAAAAAAAATTATAATTATAAATTCTATGTATAGCCCAATAATTATAATTATAAATTCTATGTATAGCCCAAACATCTTTTAGTTTTTGTTTAGGGAAGGATAAGAACCCCTGTCAAGTTTTTATTGCTATCTGTGTCCCCGCTAAGTAGTTTCTACCTCTAAGGGTCCATGTATATGAGCCTAACCTGACCGCCGGCCACGTGAAACCCAGATCGCTACTGTGATTTTGCTGCGGTTTTGCCACATTTTCCCACGGTCAAAACGTTCCTATTCTGAACGCGATTCTTCTGCATTCAGGTGAGGGACGTTTCAGCCTCACCCAAGTGCGGAAACTCCTAAACTCTACTAAAAGCCTATGTATACATGGACACACAGGCTTTTATGCAGTTGAGTTTAGGAGCTTTGGCAAAAAAATGCCAAAAGCTCCTAAACTCGAGTTAAGGAGCAGCAGTGTACAAGGAGCCGAAATGATGGGAAATCCAACTTTGTAACATTGTCACACAAACAGGAATATAGGGTAAATCTATTCATGGAGACAGCTGTCTAAAAGGGGAATTCCCTTCCCTTTGAAGACATTTGCTTTAACTTCCCGTTGTGTCTCTGGGACAGGAATTTGAGAGCAAATCTCCCCAAAGGAAAGAAAAAAAATCAATTAAAAGGGTAGCCTTTCTCAACTTTTTTACCCTAGAGCAGGGGCGGACTGACCATTTGGAAACTCGGGCACTGCCCGGGGGCCCGGGGTCAGTAGGGGGCCCCATAAGATGCCCCTGGTACCTTTTTCATAGGCTTTTTTGAGTTTGGGCAAGGACACAGGGGCCCCATGATCCCCTATTGCCCCCGGGCTCCATGAGTTGTCAGTCCGCCCCTGCCCTAGAGGAACCCTTACAATAAAGTTTCAGATTTCGGGAAACCCCTGCTAAAACCAGTTCAATGGGGGTCAGTGGGAAAATGCCAGTTGTATTGGTGGTTAGTGGAAAGATTGCCCCCTTTACAGATACTGTAGCTAAAAAGATCATTGGTGTTGCCGGCTCTGCCAAGTGGTGTTGGCCCTGGGACTAGACAAGCTCCATCAAAAGGGAGGTCAGTCAGCCAGAGCTCAAGGAACTCCTAGCAATTTTCAGGAGGAACCCTAAGTTTCCCCAGAACCCTGGTTTAGAATAGGGGCTTAAACCTTAGACCATTTCTTCAAAACTAAAAAAAAAAGTTTTTTTTTTTCCTTCTCTGTCTCCTCTGGTTAACCCTTTGAGGACCAAGGGACGTATTTGTCCCATGTTTGTAATTGTGTCTATCATCTGATTAAGAACTTAAAACTTTTTTTTTTTTTTGGTTTGAGTCAAAATATTAGTTCTTATCAACAAACAACAAATGGATCTAGCTTTTTGCCAATTATTTCATGAAATGGCTTAGTTACAGCAACTGAAGTGTACGAACTTTAAAAACAAAAAAATTGATTCTTTTGGCGTTCCAAAATCTTACGGTCCTCAAAGGGTTAAGCAGAATTGAGTGGAGCTTCAGTCTAACGGGATTTGCAGAAACGTATGTATTTGATAGAAAATGGTAGCATGGTGGTAAATCCTCCCTTTGATTTTTGGATGCCCCTTGTTCAAAATCAAATGTGCCTGGATAGCATAGAGTCCCATTAAGCCATAAGAAGGTTTCTTTAAAACTAAAAAAAAAGTTTTTTTTCCTTCTCTGTCTCCTCTGGTTAAGCAGCATTGAGTGGCACTTCAGTCTAACGGGATTTGCAGAAACTTTCGTATTTGATAAAAAATGGTAGCATGGTGGTAAATCCTCCTTTGATTTTTGGATGCCCCTTGTTCAAAATCAAATGTGCCCGGATAGCATAGAGTCCCATTAAGCCATAAGAAGGTACATGGCCCTGGCCCCATGGAGGTCATGTCCTAGGACCCTCTTGTCACCACCCAGCCCCTGGTAATAAACATGACCTACATTGATATGCATTAACTCCTTCTTCACTTCTAATTTTCAGCCGAAGAGATCTAGAAATTGAACGTCCAGTTCCTGGGATCATCGCAGTTACATTAAAGTAAGTGCGCCATTTCTGTCTTCAGCCGTGATCAGTGGTTTAGCAGCAAAGGTCAATCGCTTACATGATAGTGAACTGTTGTAGTTTGTGCTTCACGGATTTCAGTGCTTCATAGAAAGAGTCTTTGTTCTTCTTCAGATGATGCCTCGGAGCTCTGCATCTGCGTGTGTACATTATTAGAAGCAGATGTTAAGCGTCATGCAAAGATTTCCTGGCAGATTGTCAGTAGTGTGGAAGGCTACAGGATATGTAGCTGTTTACAAACAGCGGGCCATATCTATCAAAATGTCTAGGGGAGGAACCAGCTTTGGCAAATCAAATCAAATCAAATCAATAAAGAGGGGACAATATGATTGGCTGTGAAAGCTGAACTCCAGGCAAAAAAAAAAAGTGTAAATACAAGAGTCATGTGTATTCTTCTAGAATCTTGATGTACCTTGTGTATTTCTTCCAGATCTGTGCAGTAATCCAGTGTGATACTTTACCTTCCTGCAATAAAGACCTGTCACTGCTCCTCTCTTTTCTTGTGCAGGGTGACTGGTCTTGTCTCCGCCCCTCCTGTCATTTTTTACAGGCAGCCTTAGTGGGTGAACCTGTTGAGCCCCTCCCACAGCTCTGCCCTGTGCACAACTTATGTACAGCACAGTGATGATGTCAACGCTACTTTTACATATATACAATATACGCTAGGTTGCCAAAAGTATTGAGCCGCTGGCCTTTACTCACACATGAACTTTAATGGCATCCCAGTCTTAGTCCGTAGGGTGCTCAAAAAGGGGATTTTTATCTTTTGTGGCCATAGAAGAATATATTTAAATAAAAATGTTTGAACCTTTTTTTTTTTTTAACCCCCTTCTTTTATATTGAAAAAGTAGAAAAAAAACCCATAATGTCTGAGTCTGGAGTTCAACTTTTATATACAGTACAATTTGAATTTTATTGCACTTTTTTTTCTTTTGCTCTTCTTTACTAACTGGGACTAGCAGAGGCAATGTATTGGTTGCACTTTGGGAAATGAGAGTTATACTGGGCTCAAATTTCCATTCCTATGGAGCGAAGCCAGATTAATGGGTTCTGATAATTTAGCCTGGAGACTCCGGCTAATCAATAAAGTTTCCAGATCTCCATGTTGCAGGAAATTGACAAGAGGAGAGAGCAGACTGGGTAGAGAGATGCACCTTCACTGTCCACTCCATAGGCTGAAGGAAGGTATAGGACACCTCTGTATTCCAAAACTGTAACAGAGAAAATTGTTGCATCCACCTGACTGTGCTGTGTAAGCCTCAGGAATGGATGGACACAAATGAAAATAATTTTAATATTGGACCAAAAGTGAAACTGCTTATACTCATAGACAACAGCTTGCAATCATGATATTCTAAATTCATAAAAATAAAAAAAGAGAAAAAAATGTTGTATTCTTCTTCTTCTTCTTTATTATTATTATTATTATTATATTATTATAGTTAACAATATTATTATGAATTTTATTACTAAGAAATATCAAGATAAAAATATAAAACAAATAATAATAATAATAATTATTGTTATTATTATTACATTCATATACAGTATATATATATTCTTTCTGTAGACCCCCAAAATATTAAAACATTAAAAATAACCCAACCACACATTAGGCTGACATCCAAAGAAAAAAAAAAAAATCAAAAACAAAATTGAAAATTTTACTCTGTGGTGATAGTTATAAGTAAAAAAAGTGTTCCATTCTTGAAAGTTAAACGTTTTCTTGAATTCACTTGTTTGACATCAGTTTAATCCTTTGCAGTGTTCTGGGTGTTTCATTTCATTTTGTTGTTTTGTGTGTTCTAGGTGTCCTGCACTGCTGGTGGTTGGTGACAGTTCTCCTGCCGTGGATGCTGTGGTATGTATCAAGATTGGCAAGACACAAGTGTGATAATACTAAGATTCAATTTTGGGGACACTTTGCTGAAAATAAATTTATATTGATTTTGCATATATTTTTTTGTTTATATTATTGTCAGGAATAAAAAAAAATGCAAAAATATATATTTTATATTTTTATATTTGGGTAAATATGAAACTAATGCATGTAAATATTTTGTAATTTAATTTCAGCCCAGCAGGAGAAGCTCTAGTCTTTTTTACATGTGCTTTTCAAGCTATCCTTTTTTTTTTTTTTTTGCTTGTTATTTACAGAGCTCAATAGCTCAAGCCTAATTTTAAAAAAGTTGTTAGTGAGAAAGGTGACTCCTTCCCCTTTTCTGGCTACCATGTTCAGACAGTTCCATCAAAAGTTGAAATCAGAGAGAATGTTAGAATATCTGTGCTCTCAAATTAAAAAACGAATAATTCATTTGTGTGTAGTAATTACTTACATATAAAACAAAGATTTAAACAAATAGTGAAGAACATTAAAGCTTAAAAACCTATAGACTTCCAAAAAAATGTATATTACCATTTTAGAGCATTGCAGAAATTTACAACATATTTCTAAATGTGGACTTTTTGATACCTTGTCTTCTATTTTAAAGACTGGGTTTTAAATAAAAAAAAACTTGAAGAAAATGTATTTTGTGTTTATTATAGTATTCACAAGTTTACAAAAATGTATTTAATTTTTCTTATTATAACCTTTCTACTTTACAAAATATATTTTGCTAGGGTACCTCAATGACACTCAGTTTGCAAAAAATGCTGCAGAAAGTATGGCACTACCTGAATGCTAGTTGGCAATCTATGCATAACTCCCTAACCTATTCAATCCGGTCTATGGTGTCCGTTTATGACCCACAGAATAGCTGCGATTCAACAATCTCAGCTATTCTCTGGTCATTCACAGTTTATGACACTCAGGAGATCATGTCAGCCCTTCTCTGGAGATCTGTGTTCTCCCTCCAGATTCTCCAGCCCAGAGCTGGAGAATCAGAGGGACCGAAAACTAAGCAGAGATAATTTACCTCTGTTAGGTAAACTGATCTTTTACTGTAATCTCACGAGATTATAGTAAAATGAGCCGTTTTCCAGAGTTTGTAGACCGTTCTCCAGCGTTTGGAGACCGTTCTCCCTTCGTTCGGGAGAACTGCTTCATAAACTGCATTCACAGGAGAACTGTGTTCTCCGAGAATGCCGGAGAACTGAGCAGCGATCTATTACCGCTGGTTCATGAACGGACACCTATATTAGGATAGTGGGGTTGTTCCTCCTATATACCTGACTCTGCAGTCTGTGGATTCTGATTTCCCTGGTCTAGTTCCATCTTATCTGTAAAGCAGCCACCAGATAGCTGCTGTTCTTACATGGAGCTGGTCACCTGTTGGCTATGATTTTAAACGCCTAGTATTTTTTATGAAATATTTCTGATTTCATTGCCTAAAATGTTGAATTAATTTAATAAAATAAAATAAAAACATATTTTTAGTGCTGATACATGTATTGTATTCATCACGTTCAGGATTGGACCAAAAACACCTTTTTATTTTAATAAATTAAATTAGCAAATTAATTAAATATATATATATAATATATATATATATATATATATATAAAAAATACAGGATTTATATAGTGCCAACAATTTGCTCAGCGCTTTACAATATAAAGGGAGATGATACAGCAACAATACAGTTCAATATATATATATATATATATTATATTATATTTTATTTTATATATATATATATATATATATATATATAATATTTTTTTTTTTTTTTAATTTATGGAGAAATAAAGAAGATTGTAGATTTACCTGCCGTACTGCCCCAATGAACTAGTTGTATTTATGGTATTTTTTCTGGTTATTATAGGTAAATATTAAAAAAGAATACACAACTTGCAGGAAGTTCTCTGATAAAATATGGTAACATTTTAATTTTTTTCTACTCTTAGGTTGAATGTAATTCAAAGCTGGACCCAACAAAGACCACATTGCTGAAGGTAAGCCCCAAGGAAAGACACAAAAGCTCCCATTCACCGAACAGTACAATGTGCAGGTTACGAAGCTGCTGACGATCAAGCTTCCTGTTTTGGCTATTGGACAGGAAGTGAAGGGAAGTCTCCCCCGGTAGGACACAGATGGCATAAATACTGAAAGGGGTTATTAGACTTCTTTGTTGTTTTAACTCCTTAACACTGGCGTCTCCCAGCCTTTAAGAGGTTTCTGATGTCAGGAGGCGGGGCAGCGTTTCTGATGATGTGACCACTGTGATTGGCGGTCGCAGCAGTCACATGATCGGAAAGCTCCCAATTGCAAGTAGAGATCGGGAGCTTTCTGTTAGCCACCAGTAACTGTGCTAGAAGCTCACAGGGCGCGCACTCTCGGCACAGCTCTGTTTATAGTCTGGTACACGTATATGTGACCTCTCGGCAGTAAGGCCCACCCACTGAGAGGATGCATATATGTGTATGGCCAGTGTGAAGAGGTTAAAATGAGAAAAAAAAGGTTTGGCCTTTAGTTGTGCTTGAACCCCTTGGCTACCGGGCACTTTTACCCCTTACTGCCCAGGCCAATTTATAGCTTTCAGCACTGTTGCACTTTAAATGATGATTGCGCGGTCATGCAACACTGTACCCAAATTAAATTTTTATTATTGTTTCCCCACAAGTAGAGCTTTCTTTTGGTGGTATTTAATCACCACTGGGGGGTTTTATTGTTTCCACTATAAACAAAAAAAGACCGAAGATTTTGAAAAACAAGTTTTTCTTTGTTTCTATTAAATTTTGCAGAGAGGTCATTTTTCTCCTTCACTGATGTGCGTTGATGAGGCAGCACTGATAGGCAGCACTGATGGGCTCTGATAGGCAGCACTGATGGGCTCTGATGAGGTGGCGCTGATAGGCAGCACTGATAGGCTACACTGATGAGGCGGCACTGGTGGGCATTGATGATGCTGCACTGATGGGCACTGAAAGGCAGCAATGATGGAAAATGATGGGCACTGATAGGCGGCACTGATGAGCACTAATAGAGAGCACTGAAGGGCACTGAGTGGTGGCACAGATGGGCACAAATGGGCAGCACTGCTGGGCAATGATGGGCATCACTGCTGGATACTGATGGGCATCACTGCTGGATACTGATGGGCAGCACTGTTGGGCACTGATGTGCAGCACTGTTGGGCACTGATGGGCAGCACTGCTGGATACGGATGGTCACGTTTGCGGCTAAAGTACTGCCGATAAGTTGCAACTGTCAAAGGAGACATCTCATCTGCACTGATAATCATGGCACTGATTATCAGTGCAGATGTCTCCTTTGACACTTGCCGGTTATTGACAATCCTTTCCTCATGCTGTGACAGTGTGAGGAAAGTACTCCCGATAACCCGCAAGTGTATTTACAAGGTGATGAGCTGTGATTGGACACAGCTAATCACGTGGTAAAAGGCCGCTGTGATTGGCCTTTTACCATGTCATGTGATCAGCTGTCTCCAAAGGACAAGTGGTTAAAGCCTAACTTCAGCCCAATGTTTTCATAATATTGCATATAGAAGAGTAACGGCAGAAAAAGACCAAGTGGTCCATCGAGTCCATCAAGTCTGCCCCTCCAACCTTCTTGTCTTCATGAAGGTTGTTGTCCTCATTGTGTAAATCTTTTTCCATGTACCCATTACAGAGTTTTCCCATCGCTTCCTGTCCTCATGAGATTTCAAGCGACTCAGCCAAGCAGGGATGAAGACAGGAACCTTACCAGGGGCGGACTAACCATTTGGAAACTTGGGCACTGCCCAAGGGCCTGGGGTCAGTAGGGGGCCCCATGAGATGCCCCTGGTACCTCTTTCATAGGCTTTTTTGAGTTTGAGCAAGGACACAGGGGCCCCATGATCCCCTATTGTCCGGGGGCCCCATGAGTTGTCAGTCCGCCCCTGAACCTGACAGTCTCTAACCCTTCCCCACTTCATCCAAACACAAAGTTAAATGTTCCTGGTCAATCGATACTGTTCACGTATTGTGTAAATCAATGACTGATATATTTTCTCTTTCTTCAGATGTCAGACTGTGGAGGATTTCCCCAAGTCGTTCAGGTAACATCGATCAATATTAGATGTTGGTCATGCTGTCCATACACAGAGCAACATACATTCAATAACGTCAGGTGGTCTTTTGGTTGAAAAACAATTGTTCGGCAAAACAAAAGAGAATCATTTCATTCTTCTTGGATCAATCCTCCCATTTGGATGGAAATGATTGTTTAATGATTGTGTCTTGGAAATTTTATAGATAGGCCACTCCTATCTTAATATTGATCAGCGGTTCCAAATGAATAACAACTACTACACTAGGGAACAGACGCAAAAAGAAACCCAGAATCTTTCCAAATACAGGCGTACCTCGGTTTACGAAACGCCTCGGTTAAAGTAATTTTCGGTTTACAAATGAAAATCCATTGAAAATATTGTCTCGGTTTACAAATGTTTTTCTCAATACGAACAGATTAATTGGTTTTCAATGCATTACAAATTTTTTTTGTCATGTCCCTGTACAGTATTTATGCCTTTAAAGTGCACTTTATAAAGAGTTTTGAACAGATAAAGACTTTATTTTACTTTTTTTTTACCTCCGGAACAGATTAATTGGTTTTCAATGTATTTACGAATTTTTGATTTTTAATCATGTCCCTTTACAGTATTTATGCCTTTAAAGTGCACTTTATAAAGAGTTTTGAACAGATAAAATACTTTTTTTAAAAACTTTATTCTGACCTCCGGAACGAATTAATTGGTTTTCAGTGCATTCCATGTTATGGTTTACGAATTTTTCACAATACGAAAAGTCCCACAAAACGCATTAAATTCGTAAACCGAGGTACGTCTGTAACTGTTTGCTCAGAGCATTTGAGGCTTTTTTTTTTTTTTTATAACCACATAGGTATCACATTGATAAATGTAAGCAGTACATAGGCAGGCTGGTTTCTTATCAAGCTCTTACACCCCCCCCCCCCCCCCCCCCCCCGGTCACACCGATCCAACTTTGAAATCCTTCGACTTCAAAGTCAGATGGTATACCAAGATGCTTGACAAGACACAGATGCAGTGACACAAGACACAAGACACGGCTTGCAAGACACAGATGCAGTGACACAAGACACGGCTTGCAAGACACAGATGCAGTGGCGTCCCTAGGCAGGTGCGGGGGGGGGGGGGTGCACCTACCGCACGGGGTGACACCGGACCCGCTCCACCAAAAGGTAAGTTGTAAAGCAAGCCGACGATCCCCGCAGGATGGATCAGAGTCCGATCCATTATGCTCCCCAATCCGCAGACCTGATCCATCCTGCGGGGATCGTCGGCTTTCTTTACAACTTACTTTTTTGTGGAGCGGGTCCGGTGTCACCCCGTATAGGTTGCATGCCGATGATCCCCCCAGGATGGATGGGATCTGCGGATTGGGGAGGATAATGGATCAGACTCTGATCCATTCTGCTCAATCCGCAGGTCCGATCCATCCTGCAGGGATCGTTGGCTTGCTTTACAACGTACCTTTTGGTGGAGCAGGTCTGGTGTCACCCCGTATAGGTTGCATGCGGATGATCCCCACAGGATGGATGGAATCTGCGGATTGGGGAGGATAATGGATCGGACTCCGATCCATTATGCTCAATCTGCAGATCTGATCCATCCTGTGGGGGTCGCCGGCATGCAACCTCTACGGGGTGACACCAGACCCCCTCCATGAAAAGTAAGTTGTAAAGCAAGCAAACAATCCCCGCAGGATGGATCGGATCTGCGGATTGGGGAGCATAATGGATCCATCCTGCGGGGATCGTCGGCTTGCTTTACAACTTACCTTTTGGTGGAGCGGGTCCGGTATCACCCCGTATAGGTTACATGCGGAAGATCCCCGCAGAATGGATCGGATCTGTGGATTGAGCATAATGGATCGGAGTCTGATCCATTATCCTCCCCAATCTGCAGATCCGATCCATCCTGCGGGGATCTTCCGCATGTAACCTATACGGGGTGATACCGGACCCGCTCCACCAAAAGGTAAGTTGTAAAGCAAGCCGCAGAATTGATCAGATATGCGGATTGAGCATAATGGATCGGACTCCGATCCATTATGCTCAATCCGCAGATCCAATCCATCCTGCGGGAATTGCTGGCTTGCTTTACAACTTACTTCACGCTCCACGAAAAGGTAAGTTGTAAAGCAAGCCGACGATCCCCGCAGGATGGATCGGATCTGTGGATTGGGGAGCATAATGGATCGGAGTCAGATCCATTATGCTCATTCCGCAGATCTGATCCATTCTGCGGGGATCGTCGGAGGGGGGTGTCACCAAGTGTTATCGTATGGATGACACCAACCCTAGGGACGCCTCTGCACAGATGTCTATGCAAGTCGCACCTAAAGTAGTGCATGCACTACTTTACAAATCAGTGCGGCTCCAATCAAGTCAGAATCGCACTGATATGACCGCTGTAATTGCGTACAATTGGGTGCGACTTGCCATGTGATTTCCAAGTCGCATGGCATGGCAGATCGCATTGGCAAGTCGCACCCGGTGTGACAGGGGTCTTAGGGATGTGAGCACATGACAGAAGAGTTAGTATGATGCCAAGGACATTGGCTGCAGTGGACAAAGCATACAGAACGAAATGAAAACTGTTTTCACATCTGGGACTATTATTAGATTTATTCAGTTTCCAAAAGACACAAATCTTCATTATATTGAGTTCACGATTATATTGCTACATGCATGGCCAGCATAGACCTATCACTGTCTCTTTCCAGATAAAAAGTGATAAATTAGTAAATGTACTAATTCATGTTTTTTATTTTTATTTTCAGCCGGCAAAGCTTACCGAAGCCTTTAAGTACTTTGTCCAGGGCATGGGCTACAGTAAGTAATGTAGAAAAAAAAAAGATCTGTAGGCTTGTTTTTTATATCTACATTTGAAAGAGATTGTCTTAAAGTGTTACTAAACCCACAACAGTACAATCCCCTTTATACAGGACAGGAAGTAAGGGAAACCTACAACAAAAGAAACATAATGTATTGGGAATATAGACCTTGACTTTATAGGCACTCCAAGAATCACAATTACTATATGATAAAAGAGTTTTTATCAAAGTGTTACTAAACCCACAACAGTAAAATCAGTCTGTATATGCAGTAAAGCATGCTTGTTATACTCACTGTGGAACCTAAGGGGTTAATCCTCCGCATTGTGTAAAACCGCTGATCTCTCTGATCCTCTCCTTCTTCCAGTGCCCCCCTCTTATCTCTTGATGAGACATATCTTGTGGAGTCACTCTGCACATGCTTAGTTTGGTGTGTATTGCTAGAGAGGTTTTTTTTATTTTTTTTTCTTGGGAGAATGCATGTGATCAGCACAGGGCCAATCAGTACTGTCGAGACAGAGGTCAGGGGTTCTGCATTCTCCTAGAGCAGAAAGAAAACTCCTCCTACAAGCTTTAATCAGTGCTTAGCTGGACACTGTTAGAAGTCACAAGACTGCTATATACTGCTGATAAGAAAAAGGATTTAGCAGTTTATAGTTACTGAAATAATTGAATTTGCATGTTGTGTGTACTGTGGGAGACCAGATATAGTGAATGCAGGGTCCGGGGAGACCAGATATAGTGAATGCAGGGTCCGGGGAGACCAGATATAGTGAATGCAGGATCTGGGGAGACCGGGGAGACCGGATATAGTGAATGCAGGGTCCGGGGAGACCGGATATAGTGAATGCAGGGTCCGGGGAGACCAGATATAGTGAATGCAGGGTCCGGGGAGACCGGAGAGACCAGATATAGTGAATGCAGGGTCCGGGGATACCGGATATAGTGAATGTAGGGTCCAGGGACATCAGATATAGTGAATGCAGGGTCTGAGGTTTAGTAACACTTTGAAGCTGAACTCTAAGCAGATATCATTTTAAACTTTATCAGAACTGACCTTACCTAAGCAGCTCTAAATGAGTAGATCTTAAAGTGAGCCTTTTAGACCTGGCAGAAAGTGCAAAATAATGTTTTTGGCATTTGTTATTGTGCTTATGGGGGGATCTTGGATCTCAAGCCCAAATTACAACAGGAGCATTCTCTCCAAGTTCTCCTCAAACCCCACCTCTTCTTGGCATCAGATACCAAGTGAGGTTCAGGATTGGTAGAACTTATTGGCGTCTTGGGCAGAAGTCCTGTGTTGAACATGAACCTTAAATTCAGTGTCCTCCCTTAACACGAGGGAATTTTAATTTCTGATATTTTTCATTTTAATTTAAAAATTACCTCTTGTATTATCAGTATTGTTTATTTGATCACTTTTTTAGCCTCGATAATTTCATTGCTAAATACCTACCATGCTAAAGAAGTGAAAGCTTTCACAAATAAAATATACAGAATTTATCATCAAAATTTTGAATAGACAGGAAGTAAAAATGTAGAAAGTCACACAATGTGTTAGGAATCAACAGCAGGCAGGGCTGTCTTAATGCCATGGGCACCCCTGGGCAGTGCCCAAGGGCCCCAGGTGCATGCGGGCCCCATGATAATTTTGCATTACATCATATGTGCCAACTGTCCCGGATTTGTCTGGACAGTCACGCTTTTTACTAAGCTGTCCTTAGATGGTTGTGTCCTGGGCGACGTTCTGGAACCTGTGCTGTGCCCTCATGATCCCAATATTGTTCCCCCCTCGTCCCCTCCATACTGTGCCCTTCTGCCCCCCGTACCGTGCCCTTTGTTTTTCTGTCTTTGATTTATGGCATGTTTTCCTATTGTTTAAGATTGATTTTATTAAAAGTACTAATAAATACGAGTGATCTTCAAGAAGTTTCTGTATATATACAGTGGAGATCGAAAGTTTGGGCACCCCAGCTAAAAATTTGTATTAATGTGCATAAAGAAGCCAAGGAAAGATGGAAAAATCTCCAAAAGGCATCAAATTACAGATTAGACATTCTTATAATATGTCAACAAAAGTTTGATTTTATTTCCATCATTTACACTTTCAAAATAACAGAAAACAAAAAAATGACGTCTGCAAAAGTTTGGGCACCCTGCAGAATTTATAGCATGCACTGCCCCCTTTGCAAAGCTGAGACCTGCCAGTGTCATGGATTGTTCTCAATCATCGTCTGGGAAGACCAGGTGATGTCAATCTCAAAGGTTTTAAATGCCCAGACTCATCTGACCTTGCCCCAACAATCAGCACCATGGGTTCTTCTAAGCAGTTGTCTAGAAAACTGAAACTGAAAATAGTTGACGCTCACAAAGCTGGAGAAGGCTATAAGAAGATAGCAAAGCGTTTTCAGATGTCAATATCCTCTGTTCGGAATGTAATTAAGAAATGGCAGTCATCAGGAACAGTGGAAGTTAAAGCAAGATCTGGAAGACCAAGAAAAATATCAGACAGAACAGCTCGCAGGATTGTGAGAAAAACAATTCAAAACCCACGTTTGACTGCACGATCCCTCCAGAAAGATCTGGCAGACACTGGAGTTGTGGTACACTATTCCACTATAAAGAGATACTTGTACAAATATGGTCTTCATGGAAGAGTCATCAGAAGAAAACCTCTTCTACATCCTCACCACAAAAATCATCGTTTGAACTTTGCACATGAACATATAGACAAGCCTGATGCATTTTGGAAACAAGTTCTGTGGACCGATAAGGTTAAAATTGAACTTTTTGGCAGGAATGAGCAAAGGTACGTTTGGAGAAGAAGGGGCACAGAATTTATTGAAAAGAACCTCTGTCCAACTGTTAAGCATGGGGTTGGATCAATCACGCTTTGGGGTTGTGTTGCAGCCAGTGGTAGAGGGAACATCTCACGAGTAGAAGGAAAAAAAATGGATTCAATAAAATTTCAGCAAATTTTGCATGGTAACTTGATGCCATCTGTGAAAAAGCTGAAGTTAAAGAGAGGATGGCTTCTACAAATGGATAATGATCCTAAACACACCTCGAAATCCACGGGGGATTACATGAAGAGGCGTAAACTGAAGGTTTTGCCATGGTCTTCACAATCTCCTGACCTCAACATAATTGAAAATCTATGGATAGACCTTAAAAGAGCAGTGCATGACAGACAGCCCAGAAATCTCAAAGAACTGGAAGACTTTTGTAAGGAAGAATGGGCAAAGATACCTCAAACAAGAATTGAAAGACTCTTGGCTGGCTACAAAAAGCGTTTACAAGCTGTGATACTTGCCAAAGGGGGCAGTACAAGATATTAACTCTGCAGGGTGCCCAAACTTTTGCAGACGCCATTTTTTTGTTTTCTGTTATTTTGAAAGTGTAAATGATGGAAATAAAATCTAACTTTTGTTGACATATTATAAGAATGTCTATTCTGTAATTTGATGCCTTTTGGAGATTTTTCCATCTTTCCTTGGCTTCTTTATGCACATTAATACAAATTTTTAGCTGGGGTGCCCAAACTTTCGATCCCCACTGTACATATATATATATAAATATATATATATATAAAATAGAGTTTAAGAAATTTGGAAACTTTTTGAAGAACCCTCATATATGTTTAATTCTATTAACAATTTATACTTTAATTCTTGAGAGTAGGTGCAGAAATTTGGGCAGGCTGGTAGGGGCCCCAGTGCAGTACTTTGCCCAGGGGCCCATGATGCTGTTAAGACAGCCCTGGCAGAAGGGATGGTCAAATCTGCGTAACTTTACTTAGGAGACTGAGGATCCCAGTGACAGAATACCCTACTAAATAACCTAAAACACAGAAAGACTAACAAGCAACTCACTATATACAACATGGGGAACACAGAAAAGCAGGGGAAAACTGAAGGTGCAGGGAGCAGATGGAAAGGGGGAACTAAAAACTGGGCTCAGAAACAAGAAGAGCCAATAAGAAGCATGAGGGCACAGGATGCAGGGCAGCAGCAAGATCAGGGTCAGGATCAGAATAAGTGGCACGCAGTATCTGGCAGCAGAACAAAACACTGGAGTAAGAGGCACTACTAGTGGAGGAACTAAATACCATCCCAGCAGCCAGCATCAATTGGAATCTGATTACTAGGATCTGCTGGCTGGTGGGAGACACCTGTTGGTGGACCCCGGAACAACAACCTTCTGCTCTGGGAAGCACAGTGCCACCATCAGGTGATGCATGTCCTGACATAATGTTACCATAATATCTCTGAATGTGTACTTACTGAAAATTCATATGAATATAATAAAATATGTGTTGTAAGCAAACAATTTATATGACCTCCTGAAGTAGATTTCTGTACTGCTATGGGCATTTGGGCTGAGCGTGCGACAGGTATTCACATATTTTAAATGTATGTTATGATCTTCATTAAGAGTGCTTTAGAATTTTTGAAACCTCTTTTCACAGTGCCGGCAGCCAGCATGACCAGGCTGATGAGATCCCGAACCAACTCTGGTGCCAGCGTCTCCTCCATGGACGGTAATAGGAGCCGATCTCACACCAACGAGGGCTCCCGCAGCCGCTCCCACACCGGTGAAGGCAACCGCAGCCGAGCGCAGACTGGAGAAGGGAACCGGGGGCGCTCTCACACGGACACCAGAATGGACGAGCACAACAACGTTAAATCCATGGAGGTTTCTTGTTAAACCCCCAACCCTCCCCCCCTCCTTCCCATCGGGCTCAATTTGCACCGATGAAATCTAATCTGCCAACTGTACATATTGACCTGACTTTTACCTCTGGGAGGTCTCAGACCACCAAGAGATGAAGTTTGGTGTTCACGCTTGTAAACAGAGCTATGAGGACCAAAGATTGTTTTGAAAGGCCGTCACCCCATGTACTAGCCATTAGTAGTCACGCTCATTCCATTTAGTTTTTAAAATTTTGCCCTGTGGTATTGACCAAAAGTCTGATATTTGAGGTGTAATAGTTGAACTCTAGCCAAACCTTTTTTTTAAGTTTTAGATTACATGAGCAATTATGCAAGTGGTTAAGTGGTTAGCACGTCTGCCTAGAGTTGTCAGTTTGACCACGATACTACCTGCCTGGAGTTTGCATGTTCTCCCTGTGCCTGTGTGGGTTTCCTCTGGTTTCCTCCCACACTCCAAAGACATGCTAGTAAGTTAATTGGTTGCTGTCCAAATTGACCCTAGTAGGTATATGAATGTGAGTTAGGGACCTTAGATTGCAAGCTCCTTGAAGGCAGGGACTGATATGAATGTACATTATATAAATGTAAAGCGCTGTGTAAATTGATGGTGCTATGTAAGTACCTGAAATAAATGAATAATAAATGATTAGAACCTTTTCTAGGGCTTTCTGTGTTAGGAGTCAGAAAGTAAGAAAGTAATCCCGCCAGTGGGGTACAAACAGTAGCAAAAATCCACCAATTGTTTAAAAAATGTTCCACTTTATCTGAAACTAAAACAAAAAAAAAAAAGTTTTGGCTTGAGTTAAATTGTAACAGCTTTCGATCATTTTAAAGGAGGACCCAGTCATTGTAAAAGTCATCAGCTCATCAGTAAACTTTACAAATATTGTCACGTTGGCACTGTATTTTTTCTTTTTTTTTTTCTAATACGAGCTGTAGAAGTACCTCTATCATTCGCACTTTTATAGATTAAATTTTGGGATCATACTGTCACACCCACTTTTGTATTTTTTATTTTCTTTTTAGCTAGACCAGCTGTTGCCAGCAAGACGACTTTAGAGCTGTGACAGGCTGGAAAAAAAGGGTAGAAACAACATAATTTCTATCAAAAGCAGCATCAAAAGCAAAAAAGTGTTTAGTTAATGGTTCAAGTACTAGATTTTGTGTTTCTCTAGTGTTTAACGTTGATGCCATTAGACTCCGATAGAAGTAAGACTCAAAATAGGCTGCAGAACGTGATATATCGCAAAAATGTGTAAATATGCAATTAAAATATTTATAAAAGTGTTGTTCATTTAAAATCTATTTTGATAGTTTATAAATAGTAGAAAACAAAATAGTTTTTACGATAACCACCGGCTTCTGGCTGTTTCCTATATAATTATAAGATATGATTTTTTTTTTTTTCTTAATTTTTTTGAGTTTTTTTAATTGCAGATTTTCTGGGCTTTTCAGTTTATTAAATCCCCAAAAAAATGTTTTTTTTTTTTCTTAAAAAAAAAAATTTGCATAATAGACAACATATAATGGAAATGTTAAAATGTATTATTAAATAATTCTATAATATTCAGATCAAGAAAAAGCAAGTTTGTAGTTTAAATACTAAGATGATATATTTTGGTTGCCATTTCTTATTGAGAAAAAGATAAAATGAGCTTTGGTGCTGATGATAAATCTGTTTTAATAAACAATATCTTTAACTGTTAATTGCTGCTAATTATTGTATTGATTTTTTTTTATGTAATCCTTGTCACCTGAAAGTAACAAAACAAAAATAAATAAAATATATCATATTGTTGAATAACTTTAAAGATAAATGAAACTCTTCTATATTCTTTTTTTTTTTTTTTTTTTTTTGATAAATCAATGTTTTATCACTGCAAAATACTTCTAATCATTGCTTTTACTTTGTAAATGTGTTGATTTCAAATCCTTTAGCCCGTCTTCTATGTTACTCAATAGTATCCAGTGTTCTATATTTTTTTATTTTTAAAGTGTTTTGGAGCAGAAAATACTGTGATTTCTAGCTTGTCCAGGCTGAAGGAGCACATTGTGTATACACAATTGGGATCATTGTATTTATTAAAGAACAATAAACTGGTAACTTTGCACTGGGGTGTCTCTGAGTTTCTCTGTTTTGTGATTCACAGTATAAAGTCTTCTTTGTTTATTTTTAGGCATGCTTTGTATTCTATTCAATTGTTTACAAAAAACAAACAGCTGTTCTATTTTTAGTTCAAGATTAAAGTGTATCTCTACCCAATTTTTTAAAACTCTGGATACAATGGGGAAAGTGGGGGCCCCTGTCAGATTTTACTCCTATCTGGGACTCCATTAGAGAGGTTTCCCCTAAAGCAGCCTATACATAAATAGTTTTTTCTTGTTGTTTAACAACTTTGGGACCGCCCTATAGCAGATATACTGCTGCAGGGCGGCACCTGTGCACAGGATCATATATATATACGTCATTCTGCATTTCCGGGTAGGGAGTGCACGTGAGCCACGCGCGTGCCCTACTTGCGCCGCCATTTGCGGCCACGGATGTCAATCACTGGGTGATTACCGAGCATCTCCGACGGGGAGGAAGATTGTTTTGTTTACAAACAATCTTCCTCCCTGTCAGCTTGAGCACACTGCTCGGGATGGCTGTGCACAGTACAGCCATCCTGACAAGTGTGCTTACAGTGAAGAACACACCCCCCGCCCCCTAGTAAAACACTCCTAGCACACAGTTAACCCTTTGATCGCCCCTTACATTAACCCCTTCCTGCCCAGTACCATTAGTACAGTGTCAGTGCTTTCTTTAGCACTGATCACTGTATTGGTGTCACTGGGGTGTTAGTGACACCAAGTTAGTCCCCCCCCCCCCAGTGTCAGAATGTCCGCCGCAGTCTCGCTAAAAGTCGCTGATCGCCGCCATTACTAGTAGAAAAAAAAAATCCCATTATCTATACTGCCATTTGTAAACACTATATAACTTTCATGTAAACCAATTAATTTACACATATTGATTTTTTTTTAGCAAAGACATGTCGCAGAATACATTTTATGACAAAATTAGATTTTTAAATTTTTTTTACTGGACATACAGTTGTGTTCAAAATAATAGTGTGTTGAAAAAAGTGAATAAAAGCTCAAAATCCTTCTAATAGCTTTTATTTCCATCCACACAAATGCATTGGGAACACGACACATTCTATTCCAAATCATAACATGAAGAAAAAATAGATCAAATTTGTGTTGTTCCTCTAAAAAAATGGAAGAAAAGTGAATATTAGACGGTTCAAAAAAATCGCAGTGTTTGTATTCTTCTTTACAAACTCAAACATTCACTATATAAACTGAGAAAATGTTTGAAGATTTTGCTTTCCTTTGAATGACTTCATGAATATTTGGTTGTAATCGCACTGTTTCTGAGAACTGCTGTACATCTGTGTTGCATGGAGTCACCCAACTTCTGGCCCCTGTGATCAGGTATTCCAGCCCAGGATGATTGGACTACATTCCACAGTTCTTCTCTATTTCTTGGTTTTGCCTCAGAAACTGCATTTTTATGTCACCCCACAAGTTCCATAACGTCAATCTTGTTGGTCTGGAACCAAGATGTTGCACGTTTACTGGTGTGTTTGGGGTCGTTGTCTTGTTGGAACACCCATTTCAAGGGCATTTCCTCTTCAGCATAAGGCAGCATGACCTCTTCAAGTATTCTGATGTATTCAAACTGATCCATGATCCCTGGTATGTGATAAATAGGCCCAACACCGTAGTATGAGAAACATCCCCATATCATGATGCTTGCACCACCATGCTTCACTGTCTTCACAGTGTACTGTGGCTTGAATTCAGTGTTTGGGGGTCATCTGACAAACTGTCTCCGCCCACTAGACCCAAAAAGAACAATCTTACTTTCATCAGTCCACAAAATGTTGCGCCATTTCTCTTTAGGCCAGTCAATGTGCTCTTTGGCACATTGTAACCTCTTCAGCACATGTCTTCTTTACAACAGTGGGACTTTGCGGGGGCTTCTTGCAGATAGCTTGGCTTCACATAGGCGTCTTCTAATTGTAACAGTCCTCACAGGAACGTCACACCTTCTTTCATCTTCCTGGAGCTGATTGTTGGCTGAGTCCGCGCCATTTTGGCTATTCTTCTATCCATTCGAATGGTAGTTTTTCGCTTTCTTCCACGTCTTTCAGGTTTTGGTTGCCATTTTAAAGCATTTGTGATCATTTTAGCCGAGCAGCTGATCATTTTCTGCACTTCTTTATATGTTTTCCCCTCTCCAATCAACTTTTTAATCAAGGTACGCTGTTCTTCTGAACAATGTCTGGAACGACCCATTTTCCTCAGAATTTCAGAGAGAAATGCACTGTAACCAGCATGTACAACATTTGCTGCCTTCCTTCCTTAAATAAGGGCAATAATTACCACCTGTTTTTTCAAAGAATGAATGACCTCACTAATAGAACTCCACACTGCTATTATTTTGAACATGCCCCTTTCAATGAGTGATTCAATGACACAGAATCAGCAGCATGCATGTCATGACTGTTGGGTCTGTTGGATTTCTATTACTCTACTACACCTGCTAGTAAATTATTTGCCATGTAGAAATATCATTTCTACCAAAAACAGTGATTGATCCGGTTAGTGATGTCTGACTGCTGTTATTTTGAACAAAACTGTATTTAATAGCAAAAAGTCCAAAATATTGTTTTTTTCTCAAAATTTTTGGTCTATTTTTGTTAATAGAGCAAAAAATAAAGAACGCACAGGCGATCAAATACCACCAAAAGAAAGCTCAATCTATGGGGAAAAGGGGACATAAATTTAATTAGGTTGCAGTGTTGCATGACAGCGCAATTGTCAGTTAAAGTAATGCAGCGCCCTAACACACAAAAATGGCCTGGTCAGGAATCCTCAGGAGGGCAAGTGGTTAATCAGCAGGTTGAATGAAAAAAAAATTTACTCGATTTCACCATCCACACATTTCAT